AATGCGAGTAGTCGTCAACAACTAGCAGGAAGTAGCGCTCGTGACCCTGTCCACGGACGCGGGCTGGGCCCCACACGTCCATGTGATGCGTCTGCAACGGGGCCTTTGTCGGAGGAAACTGGGAGGAGTAAGGGGCAGCACGCTGGCGCCCCTCGACACAGGGGACACAGGTAGGGCTAGGGCCCTGAGGAAGGGGAGGGAGGGACCGGGGGAGACCAGAAACAAGAAGACGAGAGGCCATGCCTCTGAGCCGAAGCAGAGAGGGGTGACGAAGGCGGTGGTGCCAGAGGAGAGTCTCGTGAGACAGGAGACGACACGAACAGGGGGCAGACTTAGGACCAGACCTGGACGCTGCACCAAACACCTGACCTGACGCAGCTACCCTACCAGGCTCAGCAACTGGAGGAGACGCAGTGGTCAGTGTGTACAGGCTCGACCCCGGCCGACGAGTAAACGTGGCCAGGTGTCGGCCTGTCCGAGCGTCCGTGCAGTGGGTCACCCGCTGACTCGCAGGAGTGAACTGGTGAACCCCCGCATCCTGCAGGTCAGCACCACTCACCAAGTTCGTAGAGAACGAGGGGAGGTAAAGACCAGACAGGGTGCCAGAGGGGGCCGCTGGACACGGGAGGTCAGTGGAGAAGTGAGCAAGGACAGGGCCCCCAGAGGGGTCTGCCAGAGAGACTGCAACTGGCCGACCAAGCGGCGTGAGTGTGGTGCGGTCTCGAAAGAAGGAGCGGGAAGCCCCCGAGTCAAGGGTGAAGGTATGAGAGGCCGGAGCCGACGCGGTACCTTAGAGAGCAGACTCACCCGCACCTGAGGAAGCAGACTCACTAGCACCTAGAGCAGCAGCCGCACCTGTACCTGGAGCAGGAGACACACTAGCACCCAGAGCAGCAGCCGTACCAGCAGCTAGAGTAGCAGGATCTATACCCGGGTCATGCGGTACGCACAGGTGACCGGCACGGTCAGCACTAGTAGGCAATGCATACATGGCAGTGAGAATAGCATCATAGTCAAGAGCAAATATATCTACCCTCTGCCTAAGCAACTCCACCCAGTCGGGGAGCTCAGCCTCGTCGCCAAACACGGTACGCCACGCGTCGCTCAGACGGGCAAAGCAGCGGGACGGTGTGTGACTAGGCGTCCCACAAGGCTGACCAGTCCGAGCACCAGTGCGAATCACGTAAGAGCAGCGAACAGAACTAAGAGACCCTCTACTCTGAGCGTACTACTCATGAAGCTGCTGGGGCGTGAGAGACGCGCGTGGGCGTCGTTGGAGCTGCATCTGGCCGCCGCTAGTAGAAGCAGGAGCAGGAGTAGCAGCAGTAAGGTAGGCAGCCAAGCAAGCAGTAGGCAGCGCGCGAGTAAGGCAGGGGCTCACCAGTGGTGGGAAGAGGAGGCTCGACAACTTGGCGACTCGGCGACTTGGCGGCACGGCGGCACTGCAGCAACTGCGGCTCGGCGGCTCGGGCGACTTGGGCGGCTCGGCTGCTCGGGCGACTCGGGCGGCTCGGCGCGGCGGTACGGGTGCTCGGTAGTAACTGCAGCTCGGCGACCCGGCGGCTCGGGCGGCAGATAGGGCAGCTCTGACGGTCCAGCTGCTGGGCAGCTCGGTGGCAGGGCGGCTCGGCAGCAGGGCGGCTCGGCGGCAGGGCGGCTCGGCGGCAGGGCGGCTTGGCTTCCGGGTGGCTCGGCGGCAGGGCGGCTTGGCTTCCGGGCGGCTCGGCGGCAGGGCGGCTCGGCTTCCGGGCGGCTCGGCGGCAGGGCGGCTCGGCTTCCTGGCGGCTCGGCGGCAGGGCGGCTCTCGTGCAGGGCGGCGCGGCGGCGCTTGTTCAGGGCGACGCGGCTGTCGTAGGTAGGGCGGCGGGTGAGTCGCAGGTAGGGCTGCAGGTGCGCCGCATGTAGGGCGGCGGGTGAGGCCGCAGGTAGGGCGGCGGGTGGGGCTGTAGGTAGAGCGGCGGGTGGGCCGCAGGTATGGCGGTGGGTGAGCCGCAGTTAGGGCGGCGGGTGCGCCGCAGGTAGGTCGGCGAGTGGCCGCAGGTAGGGCGGCGGGTGCGCCACAGGTAGGTCGGCGGGTGGCCGCAGGTAGGGCGGCGGGTAGGGCCGCAGGTAGGTCGGCGGAGGGCCGTAGGTAAGGGCGGCAACGGGCCGTAGGTAAGGGCGGCGACGGGCTGTAGGTAGGGCGGCGATGGGCCGTAGGTAAGGGCGGCGAAGAGCTGGTGCAAGGGCGGCGCGAAGCCGCGGGTAAGGGCGGCGACGGGCCGGGGCTGCGCGAAGCCGCAGGTAAGGGCGGCGACGGGCCGGGGCGGCTTGAAGCCGCAGGTAGAGGCGGCGCGAAGCGGCAGGAAGGGCGGCGACAGGCTTGTAAAAGGGCAGCGCGTCGCAGCCGCTAGGGCGGCTCGACGCGACCGTAAGGGCGGCGCGACAGGCCGCTAGGGGCGACTCGACGCGCTTCGGTGGGCCCAAGGAACAGTCCCTAGGAGGGGACCTGCTCTGATTCCATGTGAAAATGAGAACGAGAATGGATCAACTATTAAATGAGTGAGTACAAGTACTAACCCTAATTGGGTTGTACCCCCTATGGGATACCCCACTATAGCCTACACAAATGTATAAGCTATATAGCATTCTGAAAGCACAATCACCCAATGAGGGCCGGTTGGGTCGGACGAGCGGCGTGACCTGTCAGTAGAAGGTCCGTATGCTACTGACTCCCAGCGTTTCCCTGCTGCTTGGTCTGTTTCTGCTGCTCAACTTCCCCCTTTCCCTTAGCATTTTCCGGGCATTCGCTCTTGCGGTGTCTCGGCCGATTTCACGCAAAGCAGCGCCCTTTGAACGGTGCGGCAGCGGCATTTGTGGCGACGGCACGTATCGTAGCGCCCTCGTTCGTCCCACGAGGCCGATGTCCCCAATTGCTGCTTCCGTAGGACACCGGTCTCGGCCGGCGGAAGAAATCGAGTTTCTCGGCCATGGCGAGAATCTCCTGAAAATCGGTGACGCCGCGAAGCTGGATTTCCTGAGCGATGTCCTGCTTCAGGCCGCCGATGTAGCGGTCGATGCGCTCTCTCTCATGCATGTATCCCACCTGCTCGCATAGCGCCAGAAACCCGCTCATGTAGTCTTGGACGGAACCGAGTTGGCGCCAAGTGCGGAGCCTCTGTCGCGTTGCGATCGAAGCCGCAATTTGCTCGAAACGAGCGCGCAGACCTGCGCACCACACATCCCACGTGCGATACTGGGGCACCTCCACGAAATACGACGGCGCCCAGGGTCTAGTTTGTCCTTCCCGTGTCGGTAGAGTCGCGTAGTCCACCGGCTTCGTGACGATGACACGCCACCAGTCCATGGCGGGTCCTCGCAGCAACGACACGGCGTAGCGAATCTTCGCCGTATCCTCCGAGACGTAGTTCACGTCGAAGAAAACGTTCAACGTGAAAAGCCACGCCTGAACGGTAAGACCACCCCGCTGACTTGGGTCAAAGCATGGCGGACGCTGCGGCATCGGCGACGGTAGAGCTGATTCACCGGCCGGCACCGAAATAGTGACTCGAGGCTGAATCCTGGTCGCATTCGTCGCGTCGGGGTGTGTCGTGCCGTGGTCGTCGTCTCTGTCATGGCGGACAACGCCATCACTTGCGGCGCTCGCGGGTTGCCCCACACTTCCGTGTTGCGATGTCTGTGGTGCGAGTTGAATCGGGGTGCCAGGTGCTTGGGATTGTGCTCGTGCGAGGTCATTTTGCAGGGAGGTGCGTTACGCCGTTAATGCCGCGATTTCTTCAGAGTTTTCGTGCAGTTGTCGCAGGAACTCATCCAGGCGGTCCTGCATGAGGTTAGTGACGTCAATATGTCTGCCATTCTGAAGGGCGTCGCCTCGTCTTAGTCTAGGCGCAGTCGTGGCTGCACGCGTTTACGAGAGAACGCGAGGACACCGGCTCCTAGGTGCTAAGGTGTGTGAGTCCCTTCGAGTGAAAAAATCAAAAGTTGGCTTCCTTGGGTGCGGAGATGCGCGGTCCGAAAAGAAAGAGGCTCTGATAACCAACTGTTACGGGTGCAATAAATCGAAGTAGCGAGAATTGAAATAAGGTGTCAAACGAGTACAAAATGTGAGCGAAGGCATGAGCGAACATTTATACGCGAAACATGCAAACGGTAACGCGGTGCGTGCGAGCTAGCTAGTGCTATGCTGGAAGCGAGGTTTAGGCCAGCAGTGCGAGGTTTGGTGAAACAGTGCACGCGAAGTCGGCGAAGCCCTGTTAGCAGTAACGGGCGAACAACGGCTGCTGCTGTACGCGATGTTGCCGGGCATGCTAAGGAATATCGAGAAAATTCCTTACATATATATATCCCTTCCACTTTTAGTTGGAAAGGGGCAAAAAATTCTGGTGTACCTATCATTCCTGGAGAACCCATCTGATCTGGTGTCATACATGACGTGTCATGTTAACGCTGCCACGACGGTCGTGGATCTTGGCAGCATCGTGGCGGAAGTCAACCATGCCACATCGTCAGACCCTCCTGATTTTCTGTTTACTTTGGTGAATGACTGGGCATGCCAGCGCAGCGCCAGCATTTTCTAGGCTTCGATTCAGCGTATGTAAACGCGGCGATGGTTCTTTCCTTGAAAGACGCGAGGGCGTATGCAAAACCGGCCATGGTTCTGTGATTTCCAGAGATTTCGAACAGTTAACACTTAGCACACTCAGAGCACCTCGTTGCAGACTGGTTACAGGCACGCCACCTGAGTTTGGCTGTTAACGTACGCGATGAACAAAGTGACGGAATGAAACCAAATGAAACCAATTGTTGAGATCAGACTGTAACTCCGCTTGCTTTTCCTGCTCTTCAGAGCAGCCATCGCATCGACGTCACCTTCACTTCAGAACTTACAGATCAGTTTCTTGAGCTTGGAGTGAGCAGCCTTCACTATCTGCCTTACTGCATCTGCTTGTCGTTCGCAGTTCCGTTGCGTTTTCGAGTTAATCTTCTCCTCCCACAGCGCAATGGCGACCGTCGCTGCACCGTCCACCAGCCTTCGCTGCTCCGTACTGCCCTCGCAGGGCAAGGCCGTCGCTGGCCGGCAGCTCGCAGTTGTCTCTGCCAGGCCCGCAGCAGCATTTTCAAGGAAAGCGGCACTTGTCGCGAGTAAGTGGGCAATGTTACACAGTTGTTTTCGTGAGTTACCATCCGCGCGAGTGAGTAGACATTTCTGCGAGTACATTTACTTTCTGGTCAGGTTTAAGTTTCCGCAAGTGAGCAAGCACATTCACCAAGTAGACACTGCGAGACATATGTTTTGCTATTGTCGTCATTAACAAATTAGTGCACCGCATCGGAGAAGCCTTATCACGCTTTTGAGTCGACTCAAAAGCATCCTTATCACGTAGAACTTAGTTGTAGTGTAATGTCATGACACCACGCGACGCGTACCTCGTATCACTGCTTCTGTCATCTCGCCGTTTCGTGCTCTTTCGCACTCGCTGTGTTACACGGTAACATGATATATGGTGACGTCAGACATATTCGCTGCTTCAGACATCTACGCTGTGACATTACATGGTGACACTGTATGGTGTTAGAGACGGTGCAAGACGGTGGCTTCACCAACGAATGACAAGGTACATCAATCATGACGGGTATCGAACGCCAATCACCAGCTCGACTGGTCATATGGAGCAATGACCGGAATGTTCCCCGGAGGCCACACAAATCTTGCACGCCCTCTCTCCAGATATCAACGGTTGGATTTCCCACAAGCATCAAACATCCCCCTCTCCCCTCTCTCTCGCGTCAAAGCTACCGTCCCCCCCCCCCCCGCCCTCCTCTCTTTCCCCAACTTCGTTCCCCCCCTTTCGTTTCCCCCTTTCCCCCCCCTCCTTCCCCCCCCTCCCCCCCCTTTCCCCCACTAAACCGGGCTGCTCACACCCCCCACCTTTCCCTTTTCTCCTCAACCCCTCCCCCTCTCCCCACCCTATTTCGTCCTCCCAGGGGCCTCGGGGGAGGAGAAGCCATCTCTGGCGGCGTCCATCGCCACGGCGGCAGCCACCGCCATCTGCTTTTAAGGCGCCTCGAAAGTCCTCCCTCCCCCCCTTTTCCATCCCTCCCTTCCCCCGTCTCCCCCCCCCCCCCCCCCCCCCCCCCCCCCTCCCCTCGCCCCCTGTTCCTCCTTCCCCCTTTCTCCCAGGGGCCTCGGCGGAGGAAAAGCCGTCATTGGCGGCGTCCATCGCCACGGCAGCTGCCACCGCCATCTGCGGCGCATGTGTCGCCGTCTCGCTCGCTACTGCCGCTCCCGCCCTCGCTGCTCCCTCGCCCAGCCAGGTGAGGCTCGTAACAGCCAGGTGAGGCTCGTAACAGCCATGTGAGGCTCGGAACGGCCAGGCGAGGCTCGGAACGGCCAGGCGAGGCTCGGAACGGCCAGGCGAGGCTCGGAACGGCCAGGTGAGGCTCGGAACGGTCAGGCGAGGCTCGGAACGGCCAGGTGAGGCTCGGAACGGCCAGGCGAGGCTCGGAACGGCCAGGCGAGGCTCGGAACGGCCAGGCGAGGCTCGGAATGGCCAGGCGAGGCTCGGAACGGCCAGGTGAGGTTCGGCAAAGCCAGGTGAGGCTCGCTCTTCCATTCCCTCCTCGTCTTTCCCATTTTCCCATCCCCTTGCCCATCCCCTCCCCACCCACCTCCGCACCTCCCCCCTCCCCATCCCCCCACTGCAGGTGCGCTTCCCCTTGGCGGATAAGGTGCTGGACCTCAGGCAGTGCGACTTCTTCTTCTCAGGGGACAAGGAGAACCCACATCCCTCTCTTTTCCTCAATCCTCCTTCCCATTCTCCCATCTCCTTCCCCATTCCCTCCCCAACCTCCCCCCGCTTCACCCCCCCACCCTCCTCCCCTCTTCCCCTTCCTAACCTTCCTCCGCACCTCCTACCCCAGGTGCGCCTGCCCCCCCTGTCCAACGACCCGGCGCGCTGTGAGCGCGCGTTTGTGGGCAACACGATTGGGCAGGCGAACGGCGTGTCGGATAAGGTGCTGGACCTGCGGCAGTGCGACTTCTCGGGCGACAAGGAGAACCTCAAGGGCAAGACGCTGTCGTCCGCTCTCATGTCGGGCGCCAACTTCGACAACACCGACCTCACTGAGACCGTCATGAGCAAGGCTTATGCTGTTGGGGCCAGCTTCAGGGGTGAGTGAGAGCATCCTGCCAGGGCGCATGCCACATGTTTGGCTAGCGGGAGGCTTTTGCTCCCCTCTCGCTGCAGGCTGAGGAAAGCTAGTCTCACCGAGACCGTCATGGCCAAGTCGTACGCCGTTGGGGCCAGCTCTCCCACCTCTGTCCACATTTGATCCCCACCTCATCCCCACCTCTGTTCACCTCATCATCCCCACCTCTGTTCACCTCATCATCCCCACCTCTGTCCACCTCATCATCCCCACCTCTGTCCACCTCATCATCCCCACCTCTGTCCACCTCATTCCCACCTCTGTCCACCTCAGTCCCCCGGGCACCGACTTCAGCAACTCGGTGTTGGATCAGATGCTCTTCAGCGAGGCTGGTCTTCAGATCTTGACAATGCACCATTTTGACTCCTTGCATGCCCTTACCGTTCCTTTCCCACCCTCCTCGTTCAGGTGCGGACTTCAGCAACTCGGTGTTGGATCGGGTGCTCTTCAATGAGGCGGATTTGACGGGAGCGTCGTTCCGCAACGCGGTGCTGTCGGGGTCCACCTTCAACGACGCCAACCTCACCGATACAATCTTTGAGGACGCGCTGATTGGCTACGTCGATGTGCAGAAGCTCTGCCGTAACCAGACGCTCGGGGAGTTCACACGCCTCGAGCTCGGCTGCAAGTAGTAAATCTGTTTGTCTGCCTCATTAAGGCACTTTTTGTGTGAATATGTATGCTTTATATTTTCCACTTGAAGCAATGGGCTGTCAGGCAAGTATGTTGTCATCAAAGCATAATCTCTTACAACGCAGCTGTTGTGATCAGGCCAAATTTAATCAGTGTAAATCACCCTGATACCCTGATTATCAGGGTGGTTTTTGGTAGTCACACTGATGGCCTAGGATATTTTTTTCAGGAGCTAGAATTTTCCTGATATGCCAGGGTTTACATTTAAAGCCCGAGGTCAGCATGGTAATTTCTCAAGTTATGTGGGTTTGAAACAGTTAGGCGAAAACCTGAAAATCGTGAATTTCGAAAATGTGTATGGGGCGAAACCGAATTCAGGAGGCGGGAAAAACACTCTTCGCAACGATACTATGCGAGAGCTGTCCCCGAGGACATGGGAGGGCCGAACGACCAGTGTGCGACAGAGCACTGCTCCCGCCCCAGCACTGGTGGGGCACACTGCGCTTCTCTTGGGGTTGAAATGGTGGGGAACGCGAAACTCACGCGAGTAAGAGTGAGGCAGTACACTGAACAATATTTCCTGTGATTACTAATCGACTAAAATATTTGGATAAGAATGAGTGTAAGGAAATTCCCTTTTCCTTACTTCGCGTCCTTGCTCAGCGCGTACGTCACTGTAGCACCTCAGTCAGCACCGTTACCACTCGCGACCATCGCATCATTCATCATCCCGCCCTTTTCGCACATCGCATCCCGACCTCACGGCTCGGCTGGTAACCCGCGCTCCGGGCCTACGCTTCGACACTTTCCCAACCTCAGTCCCAGGCTCGACGCGCGACAACCACAGTCCATTACCGTTACCACTATTGTTTTCGCTATATAATCCTTCGCTCATGCCTTCGCTCATTGAACTTTTGCTTCGATAGTGCAATTCTCGTTCGTTCACTCAATTGCACTCGTAACAATGAGACTTCACTTCAGAATGACATAAAAAATTGAAGTGCTGAATTGGCATAGAAAAGCAAATTGTGAATCATGAAAATTACATATCAAGAAACACATTAGCAATACATTTCTAAGTGTACACTCTCAAGCTCAGATCCCGCAACTCATAAGGGTCTCGGCCGGCCACATAGGAACATGTCGTGCCTTTCCATGCACCAATCTGCATCCCCCCGGCCCACCGCAGCGCAGACCAGCCTTGCCCCACCGCACATGCCCTGACGTGCGCTGCCGCCAGCATCCTGCCGCACATCCTACTGACACTGCCAATCTCCATATTTTTGCCACGGCCCCTGCCTACCTTCACCCTGTGCTTGCCATTTTGCCTCCCTTTCACGCCACTCCGCACTGACCATGCCGCACAACACACTCCCTTACCCTTGCCCCATGATCCACCAATTCGAATCCTTGCCTGCACAGTGCTGGCTGCTAGGCAAAGCGGCTCCCAATCCCTCCGTACATGCAGGGGCGGGGAACAGAGAGGGCACAGCCTCATAGGGCGCAGATCAGCAGAGGGTATGGGCCAGCAGGGGAGGCACATATAGAAAAAGACGTGGTTTGGGAGAGGTGGGATGGAAGGCGTGGACAGCAAGCGGCAGGCACAAGGCAGCACGTGCACCTTCCGGGCACACCTGCGCGCGGATGAGAAGGGAAGGTGGTAAGGTGGGCAGGTGGTAAGGTGGGCAGGTGGTAAGGTCGGCAGGCGGTAAGGTGTGCGAGTGTGAAGGAATAAGAACAGAGGGTGGGGAGACACAGGGAAAAGGGACAAAGAAACGGGTAACACGGAGACAGGGAAGGGGATGGGGGGAAGCAGGGAACGGGATGGGGGGAAGCAGGGAAGGGGATGGGGGGAAGCAGGGAAGGGGATGGGGAGAAGCAGGGAAGGGGATGGGGGGAAGCAGGGAAGGGGATGGGGGGGAGCAGGGCAGAGGGTAGGGGGAAGCAGGGAAGGGGATGGGGGGAGCAGGGCAGAGGGTAGGGGGAAGCAGGGAAGGGGATGGGGGGAGCAAGGCAGAGGGTGGGGGGAAGCAGGGAAGGGGATGGGGGGGAGCAGGGCAGAAGGAATCAGGGCAAAGGGGGAAGCAGGGCTGGTGGGAGAATGGGTGGTTGGGAAAAACAGAGACAAGGGGCAACAATTTGAGGGAAGTGAGGGCGATGAGGGGAAGCGCGTGGGGGAAAAGAACATCTGCGTACCCTTCTGTCCTGTCCCCTCTGTGTCTCTCATTCAGTCCCTTCCCCTCACGAGGAAGAAGGGTGGAAGAAAGGGTGAGAGAGAGGTTCGAAGAAAGAGAGATAGAGAGAGGGAGAGGGAGGGAGGGAGAGATGGAAGGGAGGAAGAGGAGAAGAGCGTATGACAAGCGGAATAGAATGTGGGGAGGAAGGCGGTTGGTATGTGGGGGAGATGGAGGCGGGTATGTGGGGAGGCGAGGGCGACGGGCAGAAGCGAGGGCGTTATGGCGACGTGGAAAACGAAGACGTTGAGGAGGAGAGCGAGAGATGAGAAGAAGCGCGGGTGACGGGGAAGCAAGGGCGACGACGGGAAGCGCGGGTGACGGGAGAGCAAGGGCGGCGACTGGAAGCACGGGTGATGGGGAAGCAAGGGCGACGACGGGAAGCACGGGTGACGGGGAAGCAAGGGCGACGACGGGAAGCGCGGGCGACAAGCAGAGGCGAGGGCGGCGAGGGTCGGCGAGGGAGATGAGGGAAATTGCGGGCGACGAGGAAAGCGGCATGACGTGGGAAAGAGCGGCCGACGAGGGGGAACATATGAGACTAACGGCAGCACGCGTCTGGCGACCCTGTACAGCATTCGCGTGAGCGACCTGTGCCTAAAACGGTACGATCGGGACGCGAGGCTGAACCGCAGCAAGTGTGAAAAGAGCATCTTGTGCGACGCGAGCTTGAAAGCAAGGCGCGAGTAACGCGACGATTGCTCACTAACGTAAGTGCTGCGGGTGAACGGGTTGTAACACGAGACCGGCGACGTGAGGGGGAAATCGGAGCGTGCACTGACTAAGATAGTTGAGGTGGATACCTTTTTTTTTTTCCGCACAAAAAAAAAGCCCTAACAACGACTCGCTTTTGCCAACTAGCGCTAATTTTTGTCTTGGAGCTAGTACGACTTGGTAAGCAAGTTATGTGAGTGGTGAACAGTGCATATGGTTGGCGATCATCGCGTCAGTTCTGTTTTTGGGCACTCGGGTTCCGTTGTCGGAGGACGATTGCCTGGGGCTGCGAGAGTTTCTTCAAAACAAGTAGGGTAACCCTGTTTTTTGCGATTTCAAGTTCAGGAATCTTGAACTTGAAAATTACCATGCTGTACCTGGGCTTTAAGGCACACTGATGACTCAGGGTTACCGATTTCATAATGAGTTGAACCCTGAAGCGAGTACCATTCCCGCCCCCCCCCCCCCCCCCCCCCCCCTTTTCGCCCCCAATTCGCTCTCGCACTTCTGTCCCGGTATAAATAAGTTGAGGTAAATACAAGATTCATGCTGGAACGGCCCAGTTGGAAAATTGGATTTCGGAAGGAGGAAGACTCAGGATCTAATCTTGAGTGCCCGCGTTTTCCTTCAGAACTTCAGTAGAAACACTTCATCAGGGTATTGAAAATTGTTACACTGTGCCATAAGGGTAAATTTTTTAAACTATGGAAAATCCTGATGGAAAAGAATTTTCCCAAGGGGTCACACTGATACCGTCAGCCCCCAGATAGAAGCGCCCCTGGGGTTATAGAGAAACACGTTTTTTTAGGGGGTGCGCTTATAATTGAGGATTTTTATAAGCGCCGGTGCTTATATAATAGCATATATGAAATTCGTCGTTTTTCCACCAAACTGTAGATCCCGTTCTTGCGAATTGAATCGAGTCGAAACTATATAGGGTTCGATTGAGAATCTCGCATGCAAGTTGGCGGGGATTGATTCCCTGCCAACACACACAGTCAGAATGTGAAACTATACTGTACAAGGCTGTGATTGAGAATCTCGTGTGCAAGTTGGCAAGGATTGACTCCCTCTGCCAACACACACAGTCAGAATGAGTCAACGTGCGCCCTTGACAGCTCATTCTGACTGGACGCGTTGCCAGTGAGCTGGGCGAGGGTGAGGGGGCACCGAAATTCAAAATGTGGGAATGAAAATGTTGAGTCTAGTTACAAAGATTTCAGTAAAATTATAATAAAAAAGAAGAGGGTGGTGTCAGAACATATAGCTTATACATTTGTGTAGGCTGTAGTGGGGTAGCCCATATGGGGTACAACCCAATTAGGGTTAGTACTTGTACCCAACTCTTTCATAGTTGAATCATTCTCTCGTTCTCATTCTCACATGGAATCAGAGCAGGTCCCCTCCTAGGGACTGTTCCTTGGGCCCACCGAAGCGCGCCTCGGGTCGCGCCTGCCTTTTTTTTAACGGCCCGTCGAGTCGCAACTAGCGGCTCGTCGCGCCGCCCTTACGGTCGCGTCGAGCCGCCCTAGCGGCTGCGACGCGCCGCCCTTTTCCCGGCCCGTCGCCGCCCTTACCCGCGGCTTTGCGCTGCCCTCACAGGCGGCTTCGCGCCGCCCCTACCTGCGGCCTCGCGCCGCCCAGGCCCGTCGCCGCCCTTCCCGCGGCTTCGCGCCGCCTCTACCTGCGGCTTCGAGCCGCCCCGGCCCGTCGCCGCCCTTACCTGCGGCTTCGCGCCGCCCCGGCCCGTCGCCGACCTTACCTGCGGCTTCGCGCCGCCCTTGCACCGGCTCGTCGCCGCCCTTACCTACGGCACGTCGCCGCCCTACCTACGGCCCGTCGCCGCCTTTACCTACGGCTCGTCGCCGCCCTTACCTACGGCCCTCCGCCGACCTACCTGCGGCCCTACTCGCCGCCCTACCTGCGGCCACCCGCCAACCTACCTGTGGCGCACCCGCCGCCCTACCTGCGGCCACCCGCCGACCTACCTGCGGCGCACCCGCCGCCCTACACTTCGCGGCCCCGCCGCCCTGCTTTAGCGGCCCCGCCGC